TAATAATAATAATAATAATAATAATAATAATAATAATAATAATAATAATAATAATAATAATAACAGTAATAATAATAAAAATAATAACAATAATAATAAAAATAATAATATTAATAATAACAATAACAATAACATTAACAATAATAATAATAATAATAATAATAATAACAATAACAATAGCATTAACAATAATAATAATAATAATACTGTAATAATAATAACAATAACAATAGTAATAATAATAATAATAATAGTAATAATAATAATAACGACAATAATAATAAACAATTATAGTTAGGTTGTGAGTACACTATAGGAAATAAACGCCAAAGGAGCCATTATTTCCTGAAAAAAAAAAGTGGCAGAGCTGAAGGCAACCGTTGAAGGAAATAATGGTTCTCTCGGCTTCTATTTCATATAGTGTACAAAATTACTTCACTATAATTGCTTTATACGTCATTTGTGACGTCCATCACCTTCTCTATGGCCTTTTGTAATCAAACTGCTTGTTGTAGAGCAGTTGCTATAGGCCCTTTAAAATCCATCAAACTGCTGGTTGCTCAGTGATCGCTGTGCGGGTGCATTAGCTGCGCGTATTAGCTGCGCCTTATTTTTGTCAGTTGTCTTACAAGTCAATCACCCTGTTTATCTCATAAGCATTATGCCTTATTAGCTGTCCTAGCAACGAAATATTCCATCGCGATGCACTGTAGTAAAATCACTCCGCTTTGAGTATTTTTGCAAACGAGACGCAAAATTCGGAGGTGCTATATCGATATAGTGATCAGTTAGGAATAGGAAAATTCATATGTCACCACTGACTGATTTTTGTGATAATGATGATGATAATAGCAATAAAAATAATTTAGTCTACATTAACTTTAATGCACTAATGACCATTTGCAGGAAGCATCAAGATATGACTGTAGCCTTTGGAAATCTTCAAGAGTAAAATTTTCGAATGAGCTTCGTGTCAAGAGCATAGAGTCAGCATTGTGAGTTTAGATTTAACTGGATATCATTTATGCAAAAATTTCAAAAGCAAGGGACTTCCGTGTGGAACTTCAGATTTTACATGGAGCCGAGTAAAAAGGAACCCTTAAATGTAACCCTGTTGCTCTCGCTCACTAAGATAACTGATAAGAAATTTTAACAAATTACCTGATATATCAATCGTTTTAAAAAGTTTTAACAATTAATTCTTGATTGACCTTATCAAACACTTCTTCAAAATCTGTTATATAACGTGACAGTGGAAATGGCAATAAATGGCTATGTATACCGTACTAATAGGAGTGCAGTGATATTTATAGAACATTTTTGGAGTGATCTCTTGTTGGACATTTAAAAGAACCGGTGAAACATGATTTGAAAATAGAGTTATAAATAAGACCATCGAAGATGTTTTATATAGTAGGCAAAAGTGAAAGGCGATAATTGTCTAACCCCTTATGAACATGAAATACATGAACACTTCTGCAGCATGGTTAGAAAGAACCTTTCCATAATTCTCGCGGTTACAAATTATTTAGAGGGGTAAAGGTATAAGGGGAAGCTTTATAGACACTGTTGTTAATGTTATCAATGCCTGATGACTTCTTGTTATTAAAATTGCGCAATAAAATTTTGATTTCTTTAAGGTCTAAATTAAAGTAGGCCTATCCTATGTTATCGATATTGTAATTAGGTAAATCAGTGAATTATATTCTTTATATAAAAAAAAAGCAGAAATGAACTACTGATTTAAAAAAATAGGGCTTACCTACATGTAAACTATCTTTTTTATCATTACTTGTGATCGTAGATGTTTTGACCTTATTACCGTGGGCAGTTTTACTCCATCCCTCTTTTTTTTTTTTGGTAGGGGGGGGGGATTAGAACACATATGGCCTACCATTGGCAAGTTTATTTAAGTATTCATAATATCTACGTTCGCTTGTCTTTTTAAAACTAACGGGATACAAGAAGGAAATCAAAACAAACTTTTTCTGCTAACGCAGTAAAGCGATATATTAATCTGCAGTTTCTTTTCTTAACGCAGGAAAAGCCAATAATAGCAATGATAATATTTGCAATATTTTATATTTATTATTATAAGAATAAATATTATTCCATTTGTACAGGCCAAAAACAACCAGATCTATGATGTACATAAGGTGAAAGAAGATCCACTGACACACAAAGAATCGTCCATCGGTGCTTATGGGGAAATAAAGCAATCGGAGGAGACCTATACAATGCCTTTAAAGTAATTTCCGGGCATTGGAAAAACTCAGAAAAATAAAGCTGA